GTACGGAAAAAGAAAAACACGTACACCAACTATTTGAAAATTATATTTTACTCGAAAAGCAAGCGTTTGATTTCCTACATTATATTATGACGTCGACGTTAAAGGCAGATAATATAACATATTAAAGTACTGTATCGAACGGGATAACCGTTAAATATAATATGTATATAATATTCTAACGGTCAGTATGACACGAATACTTGCAAAAGTGCAGTCGACTTGATGAGCATGGTTATAGCTGCGATATAAAATAACCGGGATGCGGAGTACTCGAGCTTGAATTAAAATTTAAAATCACCACCTGCAGAGAAAATATTATTTAATAGTTTAGACTTTTGGAGTAAAACATTAAATTTTATATTTGTTAGTTTATTTCTATATGATTATGTCCAAAATAGTGAAATGATGAGAAACTATCGCTCTATATAAGGTGTCTCATCACGATAATCTGACATATAGAATAACTTTTGTTACATTCAAAATTTAAAATTCTTTTTGTAAGTGTCCCACTCAGATCTGATAAATGAAATAACTTTTGTTCTAATTAATATTTAAAAAAAATTTATTTTAAATATAATTCATAGACAATGCGCTAAATTTTTAGTATTCATTTTTTAAATTTTTATTTTTTAATACTGAAAATAAATAACTTAAAAATTGATAAAAATTTTTTCCAGAATATCCAGAATAGCCAATTTGTAAATATGATTTTCAGAAAAATGTATATGGTAAAAACATTTATTTGAGTCAAGTGGCTGATTTTTTACAATTTTTTTAAATATCAATATTCTCGTTAAGTAACTTACGATCTACCTAGCTTATGTTAGAAACATTATAATTTTAAAAAATATAAATCATTTTTAAATTATTTTATATGAACATTTTGAAATAGGTGCATGTTAAAATTTAACTATTTTTTTTTATTGTAATTATTATAATAATAAGTTTTGTACTGGTGTATAAACTATATTAATACAATGATACCCGCAATTATTGATTAAATAATTCATGTGCTTTTTACCAGAAATGTATAATACTATTTTTACAATTAATTTCAGCGTTTATACTTTTCATTTTAAATAATCCGTTGGCAGAATACGGTTATTTCAAAATGCAGTAATAGAAAATTAGAAGAATAATAATAAAATAATTCATAAACACTTGCGCTACAATTAAGTTTTTTTTTAATTTTTTAATACAGAAAATAAAAACTTAAAATTGATAAAAAAAATTTCGAAAAATTCAAAAGACCCTATTTGTAAATCTGATTATAAGAACAATTTTAATGGTAAAAATATTTATCTAAATCAGGTAGTTTATTTTTTGGTTTTTTTTGTTGAATTAATTTGGAACCTAATTTTTGACAATTTGCTAATATGAGTAGGTACTTATATTTCTTAAATTATTTAATCATTATATAATATATTAACAATTTTTGTGATACGTTTAATTACCATAAATTTCTATTTTTTTTTTTTTTTGCTGGATCTTTCTGAGACACACCCATAGGTACTGACATAGGCTTAAAATAAAAAATTTTGTTTGTAGCAATACACAACGTGGACCGGAGTGGAAGAATGCCAAAAACAGTTTCTACTCCTATCCTCCATACACCACGTAAAAAAACTAATATAGTAGTCATTCGAAAATTCGAAAAATTCCATAAATCGAACTAAAAGCTAAGTCTCCTGAGAAAACCTCCATAATTAGAAAAAATACGTTTTGTATTCCGGCCCCCTCGTTAATTCGAAATGTTTATCGGTGAGGCACACTCTACTACTATTCGAATTTTTTTTCCACGAACCTCTATAATTCGAATTTCTTTAAACACGATAATATGTAAGTTCATATTATGTAAGATTATGTATAATCTATTTAACGTACTCGTAATGAAACTAAAAACGAAGGCGGAGGTTCCTGTCATAACGTTAAAAAAGCAAAATTTTTTATGTCAGGATTACGTCAATTTTTTGAGCAATCTGAAATGGACGAAAAAATATGCGATATAATTTTCAATGCTATCAGTAAGTCAGAACAGATTGTGACCAACAATTTTCCACAAAAAAAAAAAACAGATTTTTTAATAATATATGTACAATAAATAAATATAAATTAATAATTTTAAAATATAATAATATTTATAATAAGTAAATGTCAACAATTTTTTAGAATTAAACAAGAAGCAAGAATTAATTTTTTTTCTCTCGGTAATTTGAACACTCGGTAAAACGAAAACCCCTATAAATCGAATTTTTAACTCGGTCCCCTGAATTTCGAATTATCGAGTGACTACTGTACGTATAAAAGTACAGTCATGAAAATACGGAAACACCAAGCAATACGCTGCTTTATAGTAAAATGATTCTATTATAGCGTTTCTGCTAAAGGGCTAAATTTTCCGATTACTTTGTTGTTGTTGTATGAGTATAACAGGATACATAAATGTGATTGTAATTAATACTTTTTAGACAATAGTA